AATAAATAAATAAAAGTTAGCAAAGCCAGGCATGATCCGCACCTATTATCCAAGCCCTTGGAAGGCCGAGGGAGGAGGGTGAGCAGGGGCAGGCCAGCACGGGCTCCAGAACAAGACTGCCAAAGGGAGGGAGGTGGCATGATGCCCTTCTCTCACAGTACCAACAGAAGGATCCGAAAAGGGAGCACAGTGCTGATGCCCCTCTTTGTATTGATTCCTAGGTGTTCTATTTACTAGCTGGGATGTCATAAAAACAATGAAATCTTCCTCCAAAAGGATCCAGAATTATTCTGGATTATTCATTGTCACTTAAAACTCCTTCAGCCTGAAACAGCTTCTCCCCCGTCCTTTGTGACCTTGACATTTTCCGGGCGTAGTGAGTGCTGTGGAACTCTGATGGTGTCCGAGGTGTCCTTGGATTGGTTCAGGCTCTGCCTGTGGCAGGATGGCTGCAGGAGGCTCCCGAGGAGTGCTGCCCTGGTGCTTCCTCAGCATGCTGGCAGGAGGAGCAGCGATCAAGCCTTCCTCTATGCTGCTGGTGCTGCGCGTGATCTCTTGGAGAGACGGCAGCTGCTGATTCTCAGCCGTGAACTCCATGTTTCCCCTTACGGTTTCATAGACCGCGTGAAGTACGCGCCTTGTCACACATTAGCCCACAGTGTCAGCCTGCTTTACTTTGGGATGGTCACTTTGCCCTGATGGCAGCCTAACTGTGTCCTGTCTCTCCTCCCACCTCCCCCCATAACTCTGACACACCTGGTGGCAGCTAACAGTGGTCCTAATTCTGCCTCCAAATTGACTGAAGACTCAGCTCTTGATTTCTTACGTTATTGTTTTGTTTTGGTTTTGAGACAGAGTCTCTCTGTGTAGTCCTGGCTGCCCTGGAACTTATGTAGATCAGGCTGGCCTCAAACTTACAGAGATCCTCCTGCCTCCCAGCTGCTGGGGTTAAAGACATGTGCCATCATGCCCAGCCTTACTATTTAAAAATGTTTATTACTTTTTTTTAAGACTGGGTCTTATTCTGTAGCCCTCGCTAACCTTAAACTCTCCCAACAATCCTCCTGCCTCAGCCTCCTAAGTGTTGGGGTTGTAGGTGAGCCACCACACCTGGCTTAGCTTTCTATTCTTAATAATTTATTTATTCCATTTCTTATGTTAGCATAGACCCAGTCCTACCCTGTGGGTTCTCATTCACTAATAAACCCATTCTGCTGCTCAGTCTGTCCCTCCGTGCCTGGTTAGAACACCTCAGGAGGACCCCTGTCCTCGTCACTCACCTGTGTTGTTCTTGAGTACTTTGTTGCTCGCACAGTAAGATGTCCCAGGCTCCTCTGGCACATTCCCTGGGCCAGCCTAGGGAACAGCCGGTCTGTCTTCTCAAGGAGCTCTGGTGTCTTTAGCAGATAACTGCATTTAGAAACTGAGACCTGGGCAGCAGGTGTGCCTGTTGCCGTTGGCTGCTTGTGTTTCTGGCTCTTCCTACTGGGAAGTATGTGGTTGCTTGTGTTTCTGGCTCTTCCTACCGGGAAGTATGTGGCTGCTTGTGTTTCTGGCTCTTCTAACTGGGAAGTGAGTGTGATTTACCTGTATCCCATCAGTTCATCTATCTGCATGCATAGCTCCATGTTTCGACCCTCCTCTGTCTTCCTCTATTCGTTTCTTTGGGTATTTCCATTTGTTCATCTTTTATATTTATCTCCCTGTGTCAGGATGCATTCATACCATTGGCTCCCAGCTCAGCTCTGGTCTCTTTGTAGCGGCCCCACCTTCCATAACATCCTTCTCAGCCACATGGCCCTGTTATTATTTATATCTCCGTTTCCTTGTTCAGTCTCACAAAACTGGTCATTTCGGAGTTGCTGCCCCACGTTTCTTTAGAATTTGTGATTGTTAAGAGCAAGAATCGCTGTACATTCCGTCATTGTGTGACAGTTTTATAACTGGGCACGGTGTGGTTTCTTTTGTCACTTTAAAGTTGAGTTTGCTTGAGATAGCTTCTCAAAGTATCCCAGCCAAGAATGACCGTGAGCTCGGATCCTCCTGCCTCCACCTTCTGCGCGCTGAGATATCACCATTTTTAATCTTAGTCATGTTAGTAAGCTAGGGTTTTGTTCTGTTGAGGAGGAAGGCAAAGCCTTTCTGGTTTAGAGGAGTCCAATTGCATTCAAATAGAAAATTCATTTGTGTTTTAAATTCTGAAAGTAGCTTGTTTTGTTTCCAAGACTCCGTTCTTGTTCCCCATAGTTTTAAGTCTTTCAAAGAAAAACCTATCTTCAGAGCCAAAGTCTCTCCAACTGCCTTCTCTTTCTGGTGCAGATGTTACCGGGGCTGTTTAGTGACTGCCCAGGGGAAGAGAAAGACAATTTCTCATCCATTGGAGGAGCCCTTTCCTGTTACTGTTTCGGGACAGACTTAGAAGAGAAGCATTTCTAGAACTACCTACTGTGTCTCCTCCTCCAGCTTTTTCCCTAGTCTCCCATGAGTCAGATGGGTCAGTGACGTTAAGCACAAAACAGCTGAGACTTCGTTTGAGACACTGGTGGTGTGGGATGTCTCCTATCTTGACTGGACATCTTTGTCCACAATTCTCTGCAGATAGATTTGACCTATGCTCATCCAAAGCCATGCATGCAGGGATACATGACTGGAAACTCACAAGCACCCTCCTTGGTGAAGGATTCTGACTTACTGGTTGGCAGCGGGCAGAGTGATCTACTTGGGGAGTCAGTTCCATGGCCCCTCTGCAGGGATTGTGGGAGAGATTCCCATCTTTGGGTGGATTGCTAGTCCTTAGGACTCCTTTCTCCTTGGGAAGTCTGTGGTTATCTTGGTACTGAAGGGACTTGGGTGCTCTGCATAATGAGTAGTGTCCTTGGGACTCCAGGAGAAGATGTGTAAGAGGAGTCTCCTGCACAGGCTAGAGATATCAGCCAGGGCTTAGGGACCTGGAGGTCAGGACAGCAGCCGTTTTCTGTCTCATGGGGGCCTTTTCCTTCTTTTTCCAATGTTGATGAGGAGAAGCCATCTGGAGCTGTCGATGGAAAGGGCAGTGAGCCCCCCCATCAGTGCTGCTCTTGTGGATGCCGTCTTGCCAGATTGGCACTGATGAGGCCATATACAGTACCGCCACCGCTGCCGCCGCCGCTGCTGCTTCGGGTTCTGATCTGCATTTGGCTGATGGATTCTTAGCCTCCCAGAATCCCACAGCCTGAGCTCTTGTATGGGCTATGCTATCAAGCCTGGGGACTGGGACATTTTTGCTTTACCTCTTGAATTTGCACCAGTCAGTAATCAACGTCCACAAAGCCGATGGGAACTAGAGTTAGCCACCCGCCTCGTTGTCCTCATGGCAGGAGATACACATATTGCCGCCTACCCTGACACTTGCGTCCTGCCCCAGGAGTCCCTGAATCGGGTGAGGTTGTGGGCAGAGTAGAAGCATGCCTCACTGCAAGGACTGTGGTACAGTTGGCATGTCTGACAGTTCTTAAAGCCACTTTTAGAAAATGGACTGAGAAAATATGGTCATTTGATAGATGGGTTCTGAGTGATTGATTTCCAGCTGGTGAGAATTTCTAGACCAAGCACACGCACGTGGGTATTGTCTGCTCTCCAACTCCAGACGAGCAGCTTTGTAAGTAGGGTTTTGTCTCCCATGGGGTAAAGGAGCAGTTGCCTATTTTTTTTCCCCACTGTACTGCACGATTTTCGCCAAGTGCTTAGTGTCATTGTTGTCCTACAGGGTCTCGGAATTCACTTTCCCCAAAGAGAGCAAGACCTGCATGCTGTGGAGAGACGTAGCTCTCTGCATGCCTGTGGCTCCCACAGGTCCGACTTGGCTCCTAGCCTACCCACCACTGGACGTTCTGATAGGGAAAGATCTTCCAAAGAGAAACTAGATGGAGAATTGAGAGCTCTGTCCGGCAGGTGACTGTGGGATGACCAGAGTAAGGGTCCTCTCCGACAGTGAAAAGCCCCCTGGGGAGCATTGCCTGGAGGAGTGACAGATTCAAGAAGGAGCCGTAAGCACAGAAGAAGGCAGTGTCCCCACACTGCAGACAGTGACACAAAGCTCTCTTGGGGAGTGCTCCTTCTGCACCTCGAAGCTATTAAGTGCCTAGACTTCGAGCTCTTTTTGACTCCTGCTCTTTTCAGCAGTACTTGACATTTGTCAAGGACGTACACTTCAGAATGCTTCCGGTTTGCCTAGAGAAGTGGTTCTCAACCTCCCTAATACTGGGACCCATTAATACAGTTCCTCATGCTGTGGGGACCCCTCAGCCATAAAATTATTTTCGTTGCTACTTCGTAACTGTAATTTTGTTACTATTATGAATCATAAATATCTGTGTTTTCTGATGGTCTTAGGTGAGACCCGTGTCCCGAAAGGGTCAGTCCACCCCACCCCAAAGGGGTCACAACCCACTGGTTGAGAACCACTGACCTAGAGCAATGAGGCTAGGGTAGGAATTCTAACAGCAGGCCCCCTCCCCTTTCTGTTCAGAGGGAGAACATTGCAGCCTGCAATTGCAAGGCTTACTGTTATTATCTACAGGTATATAGAATGGACATGTCTTCCAGGCTCTGTAATTAGTTGCGGTTTCTGCTCAGAAGTGAAACTTGGTTACTGAGTAAACGTCTCTACTCCACAGAGCAAGTGGGCTCCCTCCTCCACTGGGTGTTTTATCCGACCTGTGGAAGGACCCTTCCCAGTTCCAAGGCTGTGACTTCCTGGGTTCCTTTCAGCTCTGAAACTCTGGGACAACCCTCCCTGCCTCAGGAGCCTGGCTTGCTTTTCAGTGGCTATCAGAGGAGCCACGCCTCACGTCTTCTGCACATCAGTCACCACGACAGTGACCATCTTCCTGACTTTCAGAGAGGTTTTCTCCCTCCCTGCTTCATGCCTGATGCCCATGCTGCCCTGAAGGGGCTTCATTCCTGCCTCTTACCTCACTTGCTCAGGTGCTGTTCATGTTCATTATGCATTACCCCAGTGCTGTAATGAGAAATCATGGAATATCTGTTTCTTTCCTGAGCATACTGAGTTTGTTAGAGCTTCTGCCGTTGTCCTTTGTGCTAAGTGGCCCTCAGTTTACTCCTTTTATGCTTACTCTCCAGCCTGGCTCTTGTCCTTTCTTCATTATTATGAGGTCCTTTTACATCCCAGAGCCACCTGCCTGCCCCGCCCCTACACCCCCACCGCCCTGTGAGTGCTGAAAGAGCAGAGACCCATCTTCTTGGTCACCAGAGTCTCACAGTGTTCAAATATGTGTTAGCCCCACTGTGTGTCAGATCCTTTCTCGAATATTAAGCCACAAGTATGGATTTTCCAGTCTGTTGGGAGACAAAAGATTCAAAATGTTATTTTATTCGCCTTGTGTAAGAATCCTGTTTGAGGTCTTGGCTAGGGCCCTAGGTAGAAGACCCTGACAAGAGAAATCAGACTTAAAGGGAAGGATTTGGCAGGAGTTAAATGATCTGTCTGTTGGGTGTGTTAGTTACTCTCCTGTTGCCATGAGGAAACACCCAGCTGAAGGAGGGAAGGGTTAGCCCTGAGGTGCTGAGGCTCGCCTTTGACCCCAGCGGGATCTCTGTGAGTCTGAGGCCAGCCTGGTCTACAAAGCAAGTTCCAGGACAGCCAGGACTGTTACACAGAGAAACTCTTGTCTCAAAAAAACAAAACAAATAAAAGGGAAGGGTTTATTTGAGTTCACAGTTTAAGGGGGGGAGGGGGGAAATGTGGCAGGAACTTGAGGCAGCTGGTCATATTGTATCCATATTCAGGGAGGAGAGAGGGATGGATGTCAGTTCATTTCTTTTTTTCCTTTTTTTAGTATACATGTACAGGTATACAAACATTATGGAGGCCAGAAGTCAACATCAGATATCTCCCTGAATTACTCTACACCTTATTTTTTAAGAAAGAGTCTCTCAAGGAACCTGGAGCTTGCTGATTCCAATAGACCAGCCAGTGAGCCTCAGAAATCTGCCTGTCTCTGCCTCCAGAGCTGGGATTACAGAGGAGTGTTTTTTCACATCAGTGCTGGGTGTGAACTCAGGCTCATGCATACACAGCAAGCGCGTTATCCACGGAATCAAGTGCACCATGGACCCCCCCCCCCCTTTTTTTCCTTTTTATGCAGTCTAGGTCCCCAGTTAGAGGGTGATACTCTACACATGTTTAGGTCTCCCCTCCTCAGCTAAACCTGACAGCCATGCCTCTGGTTGTAGATGTAATTCTGAACGGTCTTATTAAATAAGAAACACAGAGCCAAATGCAGAGTTAAAAGCCCAGAGATCGAGCAGCAGCTGAGAGCTAAGGACCACCTTCTTACCCCTCGCTGTTGTCCTTCCCCTGAGAAAGAGACCTACGTCCTGTGTGTCTGTCTTTTTATTGACTTTCTGTTCTGCCTTCTCATTGGTTGTAAACCCAACCACATGACCTCCTATCATAGAGACCTGCCTGTCTATACAGACCTCCAGGTCTCTATGGTTGGTATTGAGATTAAAGGCGTGTGTCTCCATGCTGGCTGTATCCTTGACCACACAATGATTCTGCCTGTCATGTGATTGGGATTAAAGGTGTGTGCTACCACTGCCTGACTTCTGCTAAATGGCTGGTTATTAGCTCTGACCCCCAGGCAACTTTATTAACATACAAATAAAATCACATTTCAGCACAAATAAAATCTCACCATATCTGGGTGATTCTGAATCCTATCAAGTTGTTCATGAAGGTTTTAACCATTACCCTAAGGAATGAAGGAAACAGATTTTATGTAAATTTCTATTTAGGCCAATGATTTTGAAACAACTCAAGATAAACTATCTAGGATTTTAGACATTTTAAATATTTCTGGAAGATATAAGATGGCTTGCTTGGTTGATGAATATTAACTGATAACTGGGATAACTTGCTGATGATGACTATGGATCTCTGCTCTCACAGCTCATGGTCTGGGGGTGTGGCACAGAGGGGATGAGGAGCCTGTGGCTCAGCGATGACAAGCATTGCCCTCCGACCCCCCTTACACACCCCGCCCTGGTCAGCATAGCAGGATCCAATTTACTTAGTCACGGACAGCAGTGAGCCCTAGAGAAAATGAAAGAGATGTTCCGACTTGGGGGAGGAGGAGTCAGCCTCTGTTCAACTCATTGTTTCATAGATAAGGAAACTAACACATAGGAAAACTGGCCTGTGTGAGACAGAGCACTAACCAGCCAGCCTGGTCCCTGAGTTATAGGAAAACTGCCCTGTGTGAGACAGAGCACTAACCAGCCAGCCTGGTTCCTCAGTGCAGCATCATAGACTTTCTCTCATAGAGCAGACTAGGCAGGGACTAAATAATGACTGACAGTTTTCGGCCTAGGGACAAGGCTGGCCCCTTAATGTAGAAGGATTGCTGCTATACAGTTAGTCATGGCCAATATGCTCATTTTGGAATCACACTTTCAAATTCCGATGAAAATCAAAATCTAAGAATTTCATGATGAGTCCCTGTAGCAACCTCCAGATAATTTAAAAATGTTAATAGGCTTTTACTACCCAGATCAGTTTTAAAAACACCTTTTGACTGGTTTTTTAATGCATGTACCAAAGCATAATTTATTATTAGCACCTTAAGGTTATAGAGTACAAAATGAATTTGATACCTTCTACTATAACTCTTGCACACATTAACCTGACTAAAACTCAGTTGATCCATAGTACATTTTAGTTTTTAATTTTTAAAATGTATTTATTTACTTTTATTTATTTATTTATTTTTGGTTTTTCGAGACAGGGTTTCTCTGTGTAGCTTTGCGCCTTCCCCAGATCTCGCTCTGTAGACCAGGCTGGCCTCGAACTCACAAAGATTCGCCTGGCTCTGCCTCCCAAGTGCTGGGATTAAAGGCGTGCGCCACCACCGCCCGGCTTATTTTTTATTGTATGTGTGTGTGTTGCTTTCATGCATGCCTGGTGCTCATGGAGGTCAGAAGAGGGCATGAGATCTCCTGGAACTGAAACCACAGACAGCTGTGAGCCACAGCTCACAGAGATGCTGGGAATCGAACCCAGGTCCTCTGGAAGAGCAACCAGTGCTTTTAACTACTGAACCATCTCTCCAGCCATGGAACACATTTTAGATAAAAAGGATTTTGAAAATAAAATGGCTAAAGAGCCGCTTTGCTTGAAATTGACTCTAAGCAAGCTGGGTTGATTTTTAATTACATTCAGATAATAAATTGGCAGAACATTTTAGCTTTCATTAGTAGAACCATGTTAAGCAGGCTCATTTGGATATTGTTATGATTGCTTAAATTTAAATGTAAATGCTTTAATTTGGGGTTGCTATTTTTTATTTAAATGTTGTTTAATATTACATTCTTTAAAACATAATCGCTCACACCAGAAACTGTATTTTTGATGAGGCCTTCTTATTACCAGAAAAAAAATGACTTGTGTCTGCATGAGTCTTCCACAATTGGCATAAGCTGGGCCTGGACAGTGCCCATCAAATAAGAGCACTTGCTGCACTTGGCAGAGGACCTGGGTTCTGTTCCCAGCATCATCTGTAACTCCGGTTCTCAGTGATCCAGCCCCCTCTTCTGGCCTCTGTGGGCACTGTATGTGGTACACATACATGAGCAAAATACTCATACACATAAAACAAATAAACCTCTAAAAAAATTTAAGAGGCATAGGTTTAGACCATTTTTAAAATTTTTTTTTTCTGTTACCAGCTTGATACAGTACAAATTCTTATCCTAATAGTGAAATGTTTCACTGAAGCTTGCCCAGTGATTGAGTAAAACCAAAACTTATTCTAAACCACAGTCATCCTAGGGTCCCCCCTGCTATGTCCCTGGTTCTGTGGGTTGCAGTCTGATTGTTCTTTGCTTTATATCTAGCATCCACTTATTTTTTTTTAAATGTCCTAAACTGACTTTCTAAAATCGGGGAGTCAAAGCTTCATGGTTTCCGATTTCCTGGTAACACCTGCATACTCATCATTTACTAGTGATGTGAGTGTACAGTATTGATCACTCAGAGTCTCACTAAGTAAGGTTTAATACAGTCTGCTGGTAATTAACCGGTGAAAGAAAAAGATCTCAGAGCACATGAAGCCAGGTCTGAGAAAGAGCTGCTTCTCTGTTTTCTGAGTTTGTCTTTCCTAGCAGGGGCTGATCCTGTGTCGTTTTTTCCCTGTCCAAGGTTCCTCAGTGGTGTGCTGAATATTGCCTTTCCATCCACTACCAGCACGGGGGCGTGATCTGCACACAGGTCCACAAGCAGACGGCGGTCCAGCTGGCCCTGCGGGTAGCCGACGAAATGGATGTTAACATTGGTCATGAAGTTGGCTATGTGATTCCTTTTGAAAATTGCTGCACCAGTGAGACAATCCTGAGGTTTGTACGTAGACGCTTCATCTCCGCCTAGGTGCCTCTTGGCTTGGGTTCTGCAATCCTCAGAGTATTGTCCTTGCCATCTACATGTCAAGCACCCATGGTGTAATAACTGCCCTCTCCAGCCTGACACACACCGGTTCTTTTCCCTCCCTGCTGTCCTCACTTGTTCCTTGTCTAACCTTCCATGATTACAGTCCTCAGGGGGAGAATTACAACTTGTTAGTTTCACCCAAGACCTTCCATCTGGTACTTAGAGATTTGTGCCTCCTGGTGAGTCCATCACCATTGGCCTTGTGCCAGCCACGTGACTCCCTGTGGCTCTGTGTGATACCCATGTTTCCACACTTCTACACCTTATACCTGGCCTACCCATCGTGTACTTGGCCTGTCTATGACTCTTCTGGGGTTGGCCAGTTCTTTCTAGTCACTCAGGATTCAGTGCAAGGGTCACCTGCACCAGGAAGACTTCCCTGGCCTTGTAGAGGTAGACCTTAGAGGCTCTTGGTGGGCTTCTGTGACGCCCACCCTCAGCCTCCACATGGCCTTTGGGACCTGTTTTTCTAGATATACTTTGAATTCTTAGGGGTTCCAAGGAGCCTTCTCTGAGGCTGCAGTTACGTTAGCAGATGTTTGTGTTTAGCTTTCTTTAACAGAGGCTTCCAAGGCTTGACACAAAGTAGAAAAGAGAAATGCAAAAGGGGAAAAAATGAAACGGGGAATTGAAAAAGTAACTGCTTAGAGCCAAGGCTTCTCTAATAGTGTTATAGCGCCCTCGTAGACAATGACAGAGCCTGTGCCTGTCCCACACTGCAAGGAGTGGCCAAAGCTGCTTGCAGCCAGAAGTGACCACCCAATGGGTTTCAGATGCCCAGGGCATTCATTGTCTTCCCATTTAGGAGCTCGAGAGATCAGAATATCTCCATATCCATAACCCACTCATGTGGCATGCTGGTGTGGCTGGCCCTCCTTCTGAAGAGTGCTGCTGCAGAATTACAGGGCAGGGATGGTGTTCTGCACACAGCTAGCCCATGTCTGATACACTTGTCCCATAGGGGATGTTCACTAACTTGATGGGAGGAGGGAGTACTGCCCTGGCCCAAACCTGGAGGTCGTTCAGAATGCCTGCCCCAGTGACTCATTCGGTATCAAGTATCAAGCCATAGGGGATGTTGAGGCCAGGGACACCTTGACTTAAAGTTCTTGAGGCTATTTTACCTTTGTGAAAATTCACAATGAACAAAGCCATTGGATGCATTTGTGTTTATAAATTACTCACTATATACAGGGCACATACAAAAGGAGTCCCTTTCCCCTGTCTCTTAGGAACTCACAAGCTAGTTGACTGGTTAAACAGGATAAAAGAAACAACAAGAAGGATGAGGAGAGCTTAAACTTAGCATTTCCATTCACTATTTTCAACTTAGAAAGGTGGTTAAGAAAGTCTCGCTATGTAGCCAAGGCTGGCCCAAAGCTTTTAGTCCCCCAACGCTTCTGCCCCCAAATCTAGGAACTAGATGTGTGTACCACCATACTGCTTTTATTTTACCCTTTAAAAAAAAATTATTTGTTTTTATTTTATGTGCATCAGTATTTTGCCATGGGTGTCGGGTCCCCTGGAACTGGAGTTACAGAGAGTTGTGAGCTGCCATGTGGGTGCTGGGAATTGAACCTGGGTCCTCTGAAAGAGCAGTCAGTGCTCTTAACCCCTGAACCATCTCTCCAGTCCCTTACTTTTTATTCTTTAAACTGGCCTCTTGAATTGTCTGTTTTAACTGAATAATGGCTCCAGCTAAATTCTGTAGTCATTGTTTGTGTTTTTATATCTTTAATGCCATCCAGACTTAGAAAGCCTTGAGAAAGAACTCTTAGATGTAGCAGTTTTTAGGTTAATGAATATGGAATTCTATTTTTAAATTATTATTATTGAGAAAGTCACAAAGGTACATACAATGGGATCTATTAACGTAAGAATGGAGCGCAACATCTTTTTAAACATCTGTTGGTTTTCATGGGGTTGTCTTAAGCACTGGATTCTGTCAGGCAGAGGAAGGTCTGAGATTCCTTGTTCACGTGTTAACTTTCCGAGTGGGAGCCCTGGGGCTTGCGGTAAGCCGTGGCTCATGTGGATGGAATGTTGTGGCTACTGTAGGTTCTGTTCTCTGCCTCGACTGGGCTGCCTGTCCTTTCCTGTCTCCATCTTCACTGGGAGGCCTTGTTAGCAGGACAGGACACAGGGCTTCCCTTTCCACGGTGTTCCTCCCAAACCAGCAGGGTCTGAGCCTCAGGGAGGCCCGAAGATCCAAAAGTCCCTGCCTAGGAGGCTGCATGGCTTTACAGCCAGTGTCTCCGGCTTTCTAGCCGGGATTCTGCATAGGTTCCCTCCCAGAGCTGCCTGTGTTGAGGCCTCCTTAACCATAAAAGCAATGGCTGTTCAGAGGGGTGTCGAAAGGACTAAATACCTGAGTAGATAGAACTGAAACGTAGTGTGGATGGAGACTATTTTATGGTGATAATTAAATTTGTAATTATATCTTTAGAATCGTTACCAGAATCAGTTTGTTTTCCCGGAGAGGTATGCTAGCTATGATTTTGAGTGCCCTCAGATTGAATGGCGATCTAAACCACAGATGTTTCCTAATGATGTTGGGCCAGGGCCTTGCACACGGTGGGCAGGTGCTCTACCACTGAGCTGCTTTGCCAGCCCTTCCGTCAGAAGCTCTAAAATTAATTACTAGAGAAGCTATATTACCTTTTATGTTTTCTTTGTAACACCACTGGGCATATCATAGATACCCGGTAAAGATAACTTTCCCTTCTTGCCTTCCTTCCTTCCTTCCTTCCTTCCTTCCTTCCTTCCTTCCTTCCTTCCTTCCTTCCTTCTTCCTTCCTTCCTTCCTTCGTCCCTTCCTTCCTTCCCTCCCTCTCTCCTTCCCTCCTTCCCTCCCTCCCTCCCTCCCTTCCTGTTCTTTTTTTTTAATGCTCTAAAATATTAGTTCTTTAGGCTTTTTCTGGCCTTTCCTGACAGTAGACACCTAAATACTGCATACCTGAAAGCACTTTCTTCACTGCATGCCACAGCCTCCCGTTTGGCGGGCCTCCCATGCGGCGGGCCTCCCATGCGGCAGCTGTGGATCTTAAACCTCTGCTCTTTTCAGAACTGAAAAGTTCCCAGTTTTCATTAGGGTCAAACTCGGTACAAACCTTCCAGAAGGTACGGATATGAATACAACTTCTTAATATGTTTTTCTTGACTCTCACAAGTCTTGGAAATTTAAGGTACAGACTGTGTTACATTGCCTAGAACACTGACAGCATATCTATATAGTTACCATGACAACATTTTTAAAGCATTGTTCACATGGAATCTCATTAATGTGAAAATGAGAAATGAATCTTGCCAAACCTTTAATCCCAGAACTCAAGGGGCAGGGGCATGTGGATCTCTGAGGTCAAAATAGTGAACTCTAGGCCAGCCAGGGCTACATAGTGGAGGGGGGGCGGGGAGGGGGGGGGGAAGAGAGAGGAGAGAGAGAGAGAGAGAGAGAGAGAGAGAGAGAGAGAGAGAGAGAGAGAGAGAGAGAGAGAGAGAGAGAGAGATCGATCTGTGTTGTGGGGAAAAGGTTGAAGCTTAGTGATTCCTTAAGTATTGAGTCATCATGCTGAGTCTAGCAGTTTTAAATAGGTCACCATCCTCTCCCTTTTTAATCAAGCCTGGATTTCTTTACATAACTCATATACCTCCTCCCTTTATGGGAAGCATGGCTTTGAGGAAACTGAGTGCCGATGGGATGGTTGCTCAGCTGAGTTTTGCTGAAAAGGAACAAGATTGTATCAGTGACATGAAAGGAGCAGACATAAACACAATCTTCTTGAAAATAGGGCCAAAGTAGCTTAGGTCATTGGGTCCTAATTAACCTCTGCAGAAGATGACCGGAGAGCTAGATTTTGGTTGCCTTTGTCTGCATCTTGCATATTGTGCTCAGGAAAACTCCAGTCTTAGGTTAGATCATTTTCTCATGTAAGCATGATCCACAGTTTGTTACTGCTCATCCGGTGAGACCCGGGGTGAGTCTGTGTGAACAGAAAGGCAGAAAGTAAACCTTGGATGTCATAAATTGAGAGCAAGAACCAAATGTAAAGTCTTAGCCCTGACCCTGGAGGCGAGGACGCAGTCTGTGGTATCTATCAGGTGTGCTAGGCCATCTGGTCCAAATCTCAACCTGAGATGGCTGTGGTGGTGCATGCCTGTATGTGATGGGAAGTTGGAGGTCAACCTGGGCTACATAGTGCCAGACAAACCGTGGCTACACTGTGAGACCCTGTCTCAAAAAACAAACAAAGCAGACAATGAAACCTTGAGCCTGACCCTAGCTTTGTTGTGACCCTTGCTGGAGAACTTAAAATGTTGACCTATTTTCTTCATCTATAAATGTGAGGGGCTATGTCTCCCCTCAGGATCTATTCTGAGGGTTAAATGAGAAACGTGTGTATTGGTCCAGGGTCCAAACACACTAGGAACTTGGCTCTCGTCTCTCTGTTTTTCCTTGAAAGGGTATTGAGCACTGTAGCGGGGTTTGGTATGTCAGATGCAGGGCCTCACTACATCTCCTCCCAACTGAAGTTATTACAGTGAAAGCAGACAGCAGAGCAGCTAAGTGAAATGGAGGATGGAGGGTTCCTCAGAGGAAGTCAGATTCCAGCTTCAAGAGTCCGTTCCTGCGCCCTCAGCCTAAACACACCGCAGGTTCCCAGCAGGGGGCTGTGACATGTGTGAAGTTTCCTGGAACTCAACAGGGACTCATTGCCCAGTTGTAACTAGGGGCTGGCCAGGAAGCACCCTTTGCCCAGGATGTCCCGAGCTTGCAGACTCCCCAGAGGAAAGCACATGTTCACATGAGCCCTGCGCTGGTGCAGCTGCTCTCCTCAGGTTTGGGCAGAGTGGAAGGAAGCTCTCCCCAAACCTGAGCTTCTAAATGCCAGCCTCACCAGCAGACCCATCCAGCAACCTCAGTGTTAAGTGCTGGTACAGGTGGAGAATCCAGAAACCTGCCTTCTTCAAGCAGTATTCTGTGTGCATACATAAACTGTGTCAGAAAGAAATCTTGATGGTAGTGGATCACTACCAGGTAGCTTTTAAACTTCTTTCTTAATTTTAAAAAACATCTCAAGGGCTCCTGGCGGGGGCAGGGGGGCTAATATCCATTAAATTGCCAATGAAGGAGGCTGAGGCTGGAAGATTTTGAGTCCACTATCTCAAACAAATAAACAAAATTGCTAATAATGCCCCACCCCATCAAGCATGCCGGCCAGTTTGCACAGGTGCCCCAAACTGTGTAGAAACTTCTGTTCTTTGAGCAACATTTCAGACTTACTGATGTTAGCGTCCTGTTGACCCAGCCTCCTAGCAGCAACCCCTCCTCCCCCGCCAGTGATAGATAGTCTTCATGTGGGCGGTTGGATCATGAGCCTGAGTTTTCTCTTTGGAAAGTGTATGCCGGTACCCAGAGTTCCACTAATGTCAGGAAGGGAGGTAACTGTCCAGTAAGGATGCTTAATGATAATACTGTTTGCTTTACAAAGCTGAAGGCAGATGTTAAACGCATTTGTTATCGTTTGTACCAGTGAGCTTGCAGAAGCAGGACACTCGTTTCTGATGAACATTGGCCACACAGACCTCTGTGTAAGTAGAGGCCTCTGACCAGGAGTTCCGGGATGATCCTTGAGTCATCGAGCATGTACAAAGAACAATTCAAATGGGTTTGTGTGGGTTGTGTGCTGTGGCCCTACAGATTCTGTCACCTCAAAGGGATATTGGCTCTAAGAAAAAAACCAGTGCCACAAAGAAGGGCAGGGCAGGGCAGGCGTGTGTATTCTGGGAGTCCTTTACAGGATTTTTCAAGGGAATTCTCTAATACATCTTCTTTTTAGGTACTGTACTGATGATATGCTGCAGAGAGAAATGATGTCCAATCCTTTCCTGGGTAGCTATGGGGTCATCATCTTGGACGACGTCCAGGAGAGAAGCATGGCGACCGACGTGCTGCTTGGACTCCTTAAGGATGTGTTACTAGCAAGACCCGAACTGAAGCTCATAATCAACTGCTCGCCGGTCCTCATCAGCAAACTCAGCTCCTACTACGGAAACGTGCCTCTCATAGAAGTGAAAAATAAGCACCCCGTGGAGGTCGTGTACCTCAGTGGGGCTCAGCAGGACTCCTTCGAGTCCATTTCACGCCTTATCTTCGAAATCCACCGCTCAGACGAGAAGGGTGACGTGGTGGTCTTCCTGGCCTGTGAACAAGTAAGTTAAGCAGAGTTCCGACCTAACCGAGTGCTGTGGTACAGCATTTCCTTTGGAAGCTTTTAATCGCCAGCCCCCGGCTCCCCTCACACAGCTGCCATGTAAATGCTCCCTCCACCACACCTCATTCTACACAAGAGCTGCGGCACAGGCGAGATAAGCAAAACCAGTGCTGGAAGCCTTGCCAGATCTCTCGGTTCTCAGAAGGAGTGGGGTGGCATGTCAGCCAGTCTTTCTCTGTCCTGCCAGCCAGCTCCCAGATAACCGCAGAGACTTCTTATTAATTATAAAAGCTCGTCTGATAGCTTTCTAACTAGAGCTAACTAGCCCTGATAACTTAAATTAGCCCATTTCTATTCATTTACGTGCTGCCACATGGCTCATGGCTTGTTACCTCATCTTCTACATGGCATGCTTCCTCTGTGTCTGGCTGGAGACTGCGTCGTCTTCTTCCCAGCATTCTCTCTGCCCCGAAAATCCTGCCTAGCTATTGGCGGTTCAGCGTCTTATTAAACCAGTCCGGGTGACACATCTCACAGTGTACAGAAAGATTATTCCACAACAGTGGCATCTTGAGTTCTGAGAAACCATCCTCCCCCCAGCTCCCTCCACCAGGGCCTGGCTTGATGGAAGCCTCTGGTACAGCTGCTCCACTCTGGACACAGGAGTGCCCCACCCTCTGCTGCGTCCTCAGCATCACTTGAAGTAGACCATTCTTACAGACTAGCAGCCTGCTCTACCCCAGCCTCTCTCAGTGTGAGGCAGGCGGGCAGTGTTTCTAGTGAGTAACAGGGACCACAAAGTGTTTGATACAGGTTGAACTACCAAGGGCTGAGCCCCTGCCTCGCTGTGGGTCTTCTGGGGGGTAGCTCGGAGACGTGACCTCAACTCAGGCTCAGAACGAAAGTAGCCCAGGGCAGTTCTTGAGACTTAAACTTTATCTGTTTGCTTAGGGAGAGTAATTGGAGTCTCATCTGCATAAGGACATTTATCAGATGTTTGTGTGGATGATACACATTCTCCTGAATACTAATCTTCTATGATAGTGATTTATTCTATCCTCCTGCCCCAGTTGCATGATTTAGAATGTTTATGAAGGCCCTTGGGGAAAAGTAATAAAATGATGAAGAGGCCGAGAGGGCCTGAGGAAGGGAACAACAGTAAAAGTCAGGAATCTAAAACATTTGAGAGTTGAAACTGCCAGATGGAGTCAAAAAAAAGGCATGGGGACCAACAGGATAAACAGTCATCTCTGAGGTTACAATCAGAAATTTCAAACCAGAGCCAAGTGCAGGCCTATAGTCACAGTTCCCACCAGGCTGAAGCGTGAGATCAGAGAATCAGAAGGTGGAAGCTAGCCTTGGCAGGCATCTGTGTCTCAACAAAGAAAAAAAGAAAAAGAAAAAAAAAAGAAAGAAAGAAAGAAAAAGCATCCTAAATGAATGCTTTGGAAACTAAAGGTCATAACAGATTTGGGGGATAGGTTATCTTAGAGTACTTGATTCCTGTAAATGTAGTGGAACCTGTCTGTCAGTGACATGTGACCTTTAAACTGGTGAGCTGTAACAGGCCAAAGGAACATAGAGAGTGGCCTTCCTATTGAGAAACGCCATCCATGACATCGTCTACCGGGAAGGGATGGCCCTGAAAGCTGCAGGGAGCTTTCACCCTCCTGGGCCTGGAGAGTGGGAGGTGCTGCTGCAGTGGCCTGGCCGGGGCTGGACTCCTTGTCCATGGACACAGCAGCTGCTCTGTCCTCACTGCCCTGCTCTTGTCTCCAGTTCCATCCTGAGCTCTCCAGGTCTGGGTCTCCTTCATGTCTCCCACCTTCCAAGCTGTACCCAGTTGTGGGTCTGCTGGGCATTCCTCTTCAGTGCTCTTACTTTTAAATCCCTGCTCAGAGCTGCTGGTTGTTACTCCCCGCTTGCTAACTCAAAACCCTCTTGATTTCTACATGCAATTAAAAC